TCTGTACATATTGTTTTGAGAAATGCACTTACTCTTCTGCAAATGTCAAGGTTGATTAGAGAAATGCACCAATTGAGAAAACTGTTAAGTAACTAAAGTCTGCATATCCCAGCAGGCTTCAGACCCAATGCTATTTGTACAACGTGTGTTTGGGATTACAGTAAAAGGTCACCCTTGGAAAGCTGTAATCATCCTCAAAAGCTTTATGTCTAATATCACTGAATGTTATACACTTTAACTTAACAGCAAATCTACCATGCCCACCTGTATCAGTCAGGCTTTGACAGTGTTCACTACAAATCCTGAGAGCTTTACTTTTACTCTGTGTGTGTGATACTAAGCCACACAAAGCCTGATGCACGTTGCCCGGCCTATGTTACATAATCAACTTGGCAAAAAGCTTCCAACATAGCCTTTGTGATCCCAGCATCAGTCAGTGCTGCGACTCGATGCCTGAGCTCAGCACAACCAGTGGCCGGCCACCTAATCCCACATTTGTCACTCATTGTGGGTGACATGAATCACACCAACCTGAATTATTCAGAAAGAATGCCTGACCAAAGATAACATATTCAGTCTTATTTATATGTACCGTAATCAAACACTGGCTCAGTGATTCCAAAGGTTGCATGGCACTAGCTGGTACCCTGCTCTCATGCATCTTTTACCTTCAGGAAATGATATAATAGATTTCTCCATAGTTCACCTTGACGGACATCCATTTTCTATACCTGATTAAAAGTAACAATAGAGCTTGAGCCTGTCCCTGCACATTGGTCCAGCCATGGAGACAATGTTGCAACAATATCACCGAGGTGCAGATTGTTGGCCTTTTTTTAAAAAGAAAACAACAAGAGAAAGTTTTTTTGTGTGTTTTCAGTCCCTAAATCTAAAGTGATTTACATGGACTGAAACACACTGGCTCAATTTCATGCCTTAGTATACTTAAACATGTAGACTGGGAAGTTTGATTTCAAACCAACAAGCTTCCATTTGAAAGGCAACCACAGAGCCTCCTCAGCAGCCTTTTTACACAGCAGGCCCTTTGACTTGGGCTTTTGAAATATACATAAAAACAGATGTTATTGATCCAAGTGATGATGGTTCTGTATGTATGTATGAGAGAAGAGCACTACATCGCCACCTTGACAGTGAGGCACCAGCACATGATAACATGTCAAAACATCCTCAGAGAATTAACACGGCAGTTCAATTCCAAACATAACCCTTTAACCTCACATACATTTCCATTTTTACCAGTTTAAGGCGAGGGTTATTACTTCAGGCCTGTGATGCCAATGCTATCATATAATAATAATAATTGTAACATTGCCAACTATGGTGTAAAAGCTTTGTTATCGAATGCGCCATGTTTAGCCACCTGTAACCAAACGAGTTCAAAATGCCCAGCTATGACCCCATGTAGTTTGCATGATGAATTCAGATGCATGCCTTGTTATTAGCTTCTGGGGGCCTAAAGGCCCTCTGGCTCCACCGTGTGTGTGTAGTTAACTGATGTCCGTCCATCCATCCATTGTCGTGGGCGCTTATTCCCGGGAGGGTCGCAGTGGGGGGGGGGGACCTATCCCCGTTCATTCCGGCTGAAACAGAATTTAAAAAACATCCTGCAGGCTCTAAGAGCGCTTTTCAACAAAATATTAAAAACAGTAGGCATGTTTTTCACAGTAATTTTCTTTTAATTGAATAATTTAAATGACTTTGAATGAAAATCAAATGCCCAGTAGACATTTTACTGGACATAGGAAGACTTCTACAGAGGTCAAAGGTTTTTCCCTAATTATTCCTTCAAGAGAAATACCTGTTTAATCATGAGCTTCTGTGCAGAAAGGAAACAGCATAAATTAAACTGATGGAAATTTAGAAAAGAATAATATGTTGCTTTTTTTAAAATATCCTCAATAGTGGTAAAATGTTAGTTTTCTGGTAAAAACAGAGAAATATTGATTGCTGCATTCTATCAAAAGAACCTTGTATAAAAATAAGCAGGTTTGATCGTCCCGGCTGCTCCCTATGATCATTTTTTACCCCATTACATCACTATGCTTTTTTAGTCTATAAACCTTTATATTTTTCTAAAACCTTTAAGTGTGCTTTTTTAAGGGCTCAGGTGGGCAACATCAAAGCTAATACAATATCTGACAAAAATATTCTGTAGAAATGATTGAACTATCCATTTCAGTGATGCAGCTGTTGACCCTTCACCTTGAATTACACTGAAATTTTGTAGTTAGGTGCAAAGGTTCATACGTTACTGTACACAACCTTCCCAGAAGGTAATGATCATATTATCTGTTTAGGATTGGGCAAGGATGTTTCACTTATTAGCCAAAACATTTTATCTATAATGTCCTACATCCTAAATGTTCTACAAGGATAACATACAACTCAGAACTAACATAGAATCAAACATATCAATAGAGTTTAATGACTACTAAGAAATATTAGTCATTGTGACCAACTTACACAACCATTTTATGGTTCTCGTCTTCACTTTTATCTTCCACCATGTTCTAAAAGTTTCCTTCTTGACATATTGGTAATCCTTTATGTGTAAAAGTTCGCTTGAATGGTCTCACAGGATTATGACGTCCATATTTAGTGAGGTAATAGAAAAACTAGACACTGAATGGATAGTTTGTGACACACCAGAAACATATTGAGGACTGAATTATAAATTCTGACCAGGCATCTGGAATATGGGATAATGCAATAGCTTCTATTGTCCATGCCAAAGAAAGAAAGTTGTCATGCATAATACATTTGTCTTGAACATCCCTATAACGTTAATTCAATTTGACATGATTCAGTTTCACCCTAGATCAGCGGGGATTTGCTGTAATGAATGACATATCTAATATGAGATTTAAATCTGTAATAAGGACATTCTCAAGCTGGAGATTCAAATATTTTCAAGAAATATCTAAGCTGGTCTTGAAAGATTGCCATTGGAACAATCATTTCAAAACTAAATTCTGCGCTACCTTTCATTACTTTGGTATCAAGTATGAGGAATAAAAGGATGACAAGTACAGTGAAAACAGAAAGTAACAAAAACATGGTCGGAATCTTTGACCCTTTGGAAACATCTGCAAACTTCTCAATGTAAATATAGTACATGACAACAAACGCATATACATACTCTTTTAAACATGAATTGAAAAACGATGTGCTTTACTCTTTATTGCTTCTATTCAGACTTCATTCCTGTGAATCACCTTTTTGAAGCATATTGCTTGAATGCATTAAGCTATTTAGTGTGAGATGTTTGCTTCATTGCCATTTCCAGAGAAGTTGGGAGGTTTTCCAAAAATGTAAGAAAAGCTTTCATCTGTAATTTGTTGGCTGGTTTGAACCTTTATCTAACAGAAACAAGTACAGAGGAACATTTTCAGGTGATTTGGAGTCAGTACTGAGGTTGTAGTAATTTCTAACGAGGATGGAATTATTATTCTGAAAAATGCAGTCGTTTTATGATGAAAAACCCTTTCCAAAATAAAATTTGAGTGGAAAAAACTATCATCTTCCAACACTAAAGTGCATAATATTGTGAAAAATTTTTGGGAGTGTGGATGAAATGTGCTAAAGCCACCATCTGTGGTAGGTCAGGGGTGCATTGGTGCTCACAGCACAGGTTACTTGCATATATGTGGAATTTTGGAGGGACTCATGCTACCATCAAGATCACACCCTTTCCCAGGAGGTCCATGGTCTCACAGCCAGATAATCGCTGACAATTTTTCCCCAAAAACTTAAACCAGCCTGGCATCATAACGTCTGCGCTTTGTTGACCTGACTGCCATCCTGAGTGGTTTCCAATAGTAAATACGTGAAGTATCACTATCGGGGGAATCAGGACTGCTGAGCTGCTTAGGTCGTTTTCAGAAAAAAAATCAACACCGGCTACCCAAAATTCAACATTTAGCATTATCGGTTCCCAAATGATTAAATGTGTTAAGATTAAGGTATATTACAAAAGGGTAAACATCCCTGTGTGATAGTTGCTTTAGGTATGTTGCAGGCATCACATTCAATAGTTTAGGTCTCTTTAAGAATATCTTGTGAACTGGTGAGAGAAGAACCAGAAAGTCATTTTCTGTGAATGGTTTAAAGAAATTCATGTCTGAAAAGGGTTTTCATGTCTGAAAAGGGAATGTAAGTCCAGCAGTTTCAATGTAGTTCAAGAATACAGTTTTCGTGAATTCAAATATTTAGATGATACTTTAACCACTCTGCAACCTGCCGCTTGTTTAAATCTGTAGAGCAAGCTTGTTTTTCATGTATTGTTTGAAACAAGCGACTTCAGTTGGTTAAAGTCTGCCATTTCCAATTCATTTTGATGTCACAACTACTCTCTCATGCTTGTAATCTTAAAACTTTTAGAAAATAACTTTTTCTTTGTTTTTTTTAAGAACAAAAATTTGATTGGACCAGATGCCATTAAAACAACTTCATCTCACACAGATGTCCGTCCCCTGATACGGTTAACATGCATAGTGTGATCCCCTCGTTAAAGTTGGTTTTAATGTGTGGTGTGTAAAATTCCCAACATACAAGTGTTAATTCAAGTGGGTTTGATAGATATTTTGCAAAACCAACGGTACATTTTAAAGTGCATTTCTTTGTGAGATCACAAATCGCCTGGATAGTGGAACCTGTTGTTTATATTCTTTAGTATTTTTTGTCTTTGCTTGTGTAAAGCTTTACATCTAAGTCATGATGTCGATGGCTTTAAGAGGCATTAAGTGATTCTAAACATATATGTTCATGTTCATATGTGTTTGTCTCAGTTGTTGAAAGTATCCCTTCTCTTATTCAGAGTGCAGTTAGTTTTTCTGCTTTCTTTATCTAGCTTTCATATGTAAGAACTTTATCAATACTAAAATGCTGTGGACAATTTCTTTTTTTCTCAGTGGCTCATAGTCAGATGTTTGATTCTGGATCATTGTGTTTGCAGACCGCAGTGCACAGCATTTCAAGCTGGGCTCAAGAGAAGTGTCATAATGTTTGTGGCCAAGAACAAGTTTGTATGTCAACTTTTACTACTGAAAGGTGTTTTTGGAAACTGATACTGCACACAAAACATAGATCATCTGAGAAATGCATTTACACCAAGGGTTGGATTATAAAGTCCTAAAAGCTGTGATGAACTAACATTAAGCACTCTTAACTCAAATTGACCATGTGAAAAAAGATTCAAGTTTCTGTGAAGGAACAAGGTCTTCCTTTAGCCTTTTCCTTGACTGTTGACATTCCTTACGGCATTTTCCTAAGCTGTCTCACCTGCTTTTCCCCAATCATCCGGTTATGTCCCTTTAACAGCTATATCTTCTTGCACTCATTCACAATAGTCAGCTCTCCCTATGGCACTTTGCATTGTTCTGCATTTTTATGCTTGAATAAAGTTTTTGAAACCTGACCTCAGGTTAGTTAATAGGGGTCATATTTCTGACTCTCTACGATAGGACCTTTGATCCAGTGCCCTGGTTGCCTGTAAGCGTTCAAACTCATGTCGGCTGTTCCGGCCTGGACTGAGATTTGCCAGTACCCTGCTACCACCACCAACATCTTCCTCCTCTTCCTCCTCCTCCTCCTCATCACGATTAAGGAAGGCCAGCTCATTTTCGTAGCAGAAGGTATTGGAACTTGGGACTAGGAACTTGTCCTCGACCATGTCCTTGGCACTGCAGCGTGGGGTGGACGGCACCTCATAGGTTTTGTGAAAGTGAGAATAATCCACTTTGTACAGGTTCTTCTCCTCAAACAAGACAGGCTCAAACCTGTGACCCCAAAGGACCTCGGAAGCGAGGTAAGAGCTGCGAGCTTGTGTGGTCATGGCGGTTGCTTCAACCATACCCTCCAGGATGACAACTATCTCAAAGTCTGCTGTTTCCAAATCCTGTTTGCTGATCCCAAAAAGAGGACTTTCCTCGTCTATCTCATGAAGAATAGTGATAGGTGACACCAAGAAAATCCTGTCCAAGCCTTTGTCGAAACCCACATTAATGTCTATCTGGTCTAGAGGAATATATTCCCCCTCATCAGTTATCCGAGGTTTGATGAGTTGTGCTCTGACATGGGCCTCTACAATGTGGCTCTTGCGAAGATTCCCTACCCTCCACATGAGACAGAGCTTTCCATCCCTCATGGCAATGACAGCATTGTGACTGAACAACAGTGTTTGTGCTCGCTTCTTGGGCCTTGCCATTTTAGCCATGATGGCGCCAATCATGAAGCAGTCAATGATGCAACCCACAATCGACTGGAAGACCACCATAAAAACTGCCACTGGGCACTCCTCAGTCACACACCGATAGCCATAACCTATGGTAGACTGGGTTTCAATTGAGAATAGAAAAGCGGCCACAAATCCATTGACCTGCAGGACGCACGGAGTAAAGTTGTCATCTCCAGCTGGGTTATCCAGATCTCCATGCAGCAAAGCAATGACCCAAAAGGCAAGGCCGAAGGCCAGCCAGGAGACGACAAACACAAGAGTGAAGACTACCAGCATCCATCGCCAGCGAATGTCAACACACGTTGTGAAAATGTCTGCCAAGTAGCGCTGTGACTTTTCGTCCATATTGGCAAACTGCACATTGCACTGGCCGTTTTTTTTCACAAAACGATTGCGGCACTTGCGGCGTGTGTGAATCTTGCCATTGCCAAAGCCGTTCATGCCATGCATGGTGGTGAGGCGAAGGGCTTCCTCTTCAGATGAAACAATGCTGTAACGGCTGATCCTTCCCACACTCATGCTCCTGACGGCACCTCCAGCTGCAGAATTAGAGCAGAAGGGCAGGCCTGGAGTCCAAATGTGTGATCAGGGCCCCTCACAGCTTGATCACTAGCTAAGCTGCATTTTAGTGAGTCATTGAGGCAGGAGGGTGGGAGCTTTGTGTTCGAATCCAGTCCCTGTTGAGAGTGTTAGGAGAGAACATGTATGAGCGACACGCTGGTCAAACCACACCATCCATCATGTACATTAAACATTACCATGAAAACTAGGCATGGAAGCTTCCAATAAATGATAATGATTACATGTTTTTCAGTTATTCTGATTAAAACAGAGCAAACTAAGAAAAGTAATGAGCTGTCGAACACTAGGAGTTGATTAAAAAACAAGGCACCCGGTCTGATTAACATAGCAGTTTTTAAACCTGTATGTCTATGCTTACTGTTCTAATAGTTTTTCCCACATACAAGTAAAGACAGTCCTATCAAATTTTATGTTATGCCATACTAAGTCAGAAGAAAATGTTTAAAGTAAAGCATTTTTTGATATTTGGTTTTATAGATTTTTCGTTAATGATGCTGAGTTGGAGATGATGAATGAGCTTTTTATTTATATCTACTAATATATTAATAAGTTGTTTATCCATCTAGCCACCCAACAATCCATCCAATGATTTTCTGCATCGTCTTAATCCAGTCCAATTCAATTCAGTTACAGTTCAATTCCAATCCAGGGAGACTTTGCTAGATTTTTATTAGGTGAGAGGTGGTTTCCACCCTTGACAGGTCAGCAGTGCATCACAAGCCAAACAGAGAGATTACTATAATTTCTAACACCCAGACGCACATTAATGTTTACGGACAGTGGCAAAAGTAAAGGAAATACATTTCCTAAATGATAGTATCTAATGACCACTACAAGATTTCTAACAGGGGTTTGGCCTATACACCATTACTAGCCTGTGTTACGTGAAGATTTAATATAGAAACGGCCTAAAGGAAAAAACGAGTCACAGATGTGTGGAACTTTGTAATGCTTTGTGTTACGAAAATAAAAATTGAGAAAAGCATTTTTTGACAGCATTGTATGTGATTTGTTTGCTCCCGAACTAAATAGCAATAATAAATGGTGGCAGTTTTGCAGTGTTTGTCATAAATGACATCAGAACTTTCAAACTGCAGTCCCTAGTAAAAGTGATGCAGCGTCAGTGTAGATCCAGTTATTATTTTCACTTTGCAGTCCCACTACTTGCGGTCATACTTAATCATCACCACTCAGTGGTGTGTCTATGAAATTATGAAGGCTGACAGTCAGGACCAAATTCTTCTCTACCAGATGCCTGTTGTTAATCAGCGATAAAACTTGACCACAGTCTGAGTCACCGCTCATATTTGGTTCGATGCTTTAAGAAATGCCTGCTTTGTCATATTTTAGCCCTATGAAAAATAGAAAAGCCTTTCACAAATTACATTTCAGTGGCTGTATTTATAGTCTCTCAGCAGCGTGCTGTGCAGTCGCCACACATCCAACAGACATGCTGCACTCCTTTATCTGTTCTCTGGTGGCCCAAATTTGTCATTGTACTTTCATTACGATATTTATATTAGGGGAATAGAAAGGGGGTTATTTGTGTGTCAGTGTGTATATTTCTGAACTCCTATGGGGTGTGTGTGTGTGACACTGATTCATTGGAAACGCATTTCCAGATCCTGCATACAAAGATGGAGAGAGAATATATATTTGACCCTATTCTGTTCAATTTGCGGTGTTATTAATCATGCTGTGACGATGCGGCACATGCATGCTTCCTCCCCTCTGTGCTGCAATCATGTAGGAAGTAGATTTCTCCCTTGTCTGATGGCCTGTATCATCACTAAATGCACACTGGAACTTAGCTCTTGTAAATCTCATGCAAGTCAGTTACTCCCTATGCATGTATCTGAACATGTGCGTTTTGTCAGTATTTTTTTTTAGATCATTGCCTCGGCCCGGCAGCAGGGGTCTTTATCTCGAGACAACTAGTGCTCTTAATGCAGAGCCCTGGGGTCAAGGCGTTTTACTCATGGGAGCTAGACTAGAGGCCCCGGGGGACACATACATCCCTGGCGCCTGGCTTCATCTGCTGCGTGTCTGCCTGTCTGATTTGGACCCTAAAGACCCAGTTCAGTCTGCAGTTCACTCATGTGCACTCCAAAATCCCAAGTGTGCCCCCCCCCCCGTCTGCCATACTTCAAATCCTATCTCTATCGCATTCTTTCAGGTAGAAGTTCAACCGATCTGGAGATAGTTCTTAAAGATGCCTCTTTCTTTATCCACCTTATAGCACAGCACTCGAAATTAAGATCCTCTATTCCCTGTCAAGTAGATGAAACTACATTAAACAAATGTATTTTACAATTTTTGACGGCATGTAACACAAACTTTTAAAGTAGGCTTTTTAGTCCATGCTGGCTATCTATGGGGCACAAGAGCTCGATTGTACTAAAGAAGAACACGCATAGTAACTACTCTCACTGCGTTATGTAATAGAAATTAATCTCATCTTGAGATTCAACATTGTCTCTGCCTGTCACATTATACACTTCAGCCTCTATAGGCATGTCCTGAGTAGCCCTACACGAAGCGAAGTATCCATATCATACTGTTGCCGTGCAGTGTCAGGTGTCCGGTCAATTGATAAATGAAAGTAAAACATCTCCTAATATCCTTTGAGTCATTAGATAAGTGCTTTCAAATCCCAAACCAAACAGAAAGCCTTTTCTGTAGATACACATAAAGCTCTTTCAATCAAATAGTCAGATTTGAGAATGATCTTTTCACTCTGTCTTTGAGATGCATTTGCATGCAAGTTTTAACAAACCCAAAAGTGTGAAACCTCACTGTATTACAGACTCGATTGCTATAACTCTTAACTACCTTCATTCTCATAAATGAGCATCTAAAGTGGCACTCAATGCTGCTCTATCCATAATGAAATAACAGGGAGTATTTGCATATAATGAAAAACAAAGACGAGATGAGATGACATTTGCATTTTTGAATGAACATCTGCTTTTTGGGGTTGCTTTAATTAATAGGTAGTTTTTAAATACATGCCCTCACAGTCAATATAAAAGTTAAAAGATAATGAATTAAATATACATGAATTACATGGATTGCACATATGTTAATATGGAGCACATCACAGCAATACATACTGTCATCCTCCAGTTAATTAAAAATACATAATATCCACATAGTGCATTATCAACATGGATCAAAGAACATCATTTGGGCTTTAGTTTTTCATTTCTTGAATAACCTCTGGTGACCTAGTGTACTGTGTGCGTTCTCAGGGCTTGAGAGGAGCGACTAAAGGAGAGACGATAAGCTTGCTGCTGATTAGGATGAATAGAATGAATAATTGGATGTGCAAAATAATGGAAGGGATTGGAGGAACAATGAGGTCTAGTGGGAGAGGGTACTTCATCTCAAGACAAGCATGCAGGAAACTGAGCTACTGAGGAACTACGATCTTGGCCTACCTCCCAGGGCCATTGTGAGGGAATAACCGAAGCTCAGGTGTCACTGTATTTTCCTTTAGCTTACCACACGGAACTCACCTGGTCTCGAGTGACCTACAAGTATTTTCCTACAGAATGCAAAACCACTTGAAGACAGCGGAGACGTTATCTGATTGGAAGTTACTTTTGCGAGGCAGTTAACAGCTTGTTTTTCTTGCCTTTAGACGTAAGGCTCTAATTTGTGTTTGACATTTCAAAGGCTTTGACTGGCAGATTAAAAAGTCAGGGGAAGTATAAGTTGGTTCAAACAATGACTAAGCCTGGAGGTTGTTAGACTATATTCATAAGCTTTGTGCTCATAAGCTATTTTAGGGAGCATTTGAAAGATCTTTTAATGAAGATTGATAAAACAGAGAACACATTAAACTTTGTCGCCTCTCACATTGTTAGAACTGATTTTCGCCACGACAGCAGAATAGACATTCTTTTCTATCAGCTAGACCTGTAGCCGCCCCCCTCCATTCATACACCTTGTTCTCAGTGAACAATCACAACAACATAAGTTCCACAAGCTTTTAAAAAAAAAATCTTAAGTTGTTTTTGTATTTGCACCTTTTCACCAATATTACGTCTACAGTAAGATTGGTTAGTACGGGTGCAAACTAACATGCATTGCTACTATTGAAGATAACAGTCACCTTAAGTCATTCAAGGGCACGTATATGCAGTAGAAATTGTATGGTTTAGGGAAATATTGTGTATTTTTATGGTTTTGCTTTGGAGCCATTTGCGTAATTGTGGAATCACAGTAACAAAAAAAAGAGAATGCGCGAAGATAATGACCTCAGTCATCATGTTCATCCTGTGCCTTTTGTTGTACCTGATCATCAGATTTGATTGACAAACACAAAGTGCAGAGTACTGAAAGCAGCACATTTATCCAGAGCATCATACAGCTGACAACATTCCCATCCCAGGACGTTAGCTGAGACAGATTTGGAAGTAGGTGATGCAGACAGTGTTGACAAAGCTCTTTATGTTTTTTTTTAAATAAGATTATGACTATCATTATAAATTCTATCAAATGCAGCATATAAAGGAGAATTACCTTGAAAATCTCCCAAATTGATTATGATAGCCTGAGATGGCTGGCTACATCTGACCTTTTGTAAAGAAGATTTTTCTGCCAGATTTAGAACATTGATTTAATTACTTTTAACGCAGCTTTGCCTTAAGTGCAAAATTCACTAGTTGAACTGTATACATTTTCACGTGTTATTCTGAAGTTTGTTTAGTTTTCAGGAGATAAGGAGAATGTTTTAAGCCTATAAAATTCATTGCAGGCCATGATGTTGTCAGGTAAGGCCTTTGGTATAAGTTTGTGTCATCCCTGGGTTGGAGGTTTGTAGATATCAGATATGCAGACTTCTGAAGATTATTACAATCAATTGAACTGCTGAAAAGATAGACCTTGTCCTGCATATTAGCGGTCTTGGCTGTTCAGTGCAGCATGTTGGATATGAAATGAACCAAATTGTTACAGCTGACATACTTTTGAATAAGACAGGCTTTTCAGCTATCGTGCATAATTTCTTTTGGAAGGCCTGATATCGGTAAAAGCTTAGAGTAGCATAGTCTTATTAGGGGGGCCACTGCCAGCGGTAGGCCCCCTATTATTATAAAAAATTATTTTATTTCATTTATATTTTTATCCTCTCAGAACAAGCTTTTTGAAGAGATTTCTACAATCTTTACATAAGACGTCTCTATACATTTCAGTAAAAATCTATTTGAAATTTACATTGGACGTGCCCAAAGAGTTGTTTTCAGAGGACGTAGTGTTCCACTGCCATGCTCATCAAACTACAGATCAATGACATCTGATAAATATTGATGTTACAATCAGATTCTAACTCTAAGATGAAGTCTTGCTCCCTTCTTACCTTTATGTCTACCTGTTCTACACCAGGCTGCAGATGCGCAAGGTGGTTTCTCGTCTCCCAGTGTCTCTGTTAACCAAACTGATGCATTCTTTGCACAGCTATTCCTTCTTTGTGTGCTACTCGAATCCCGGGCAAAACCACTCCATCATCGTCAGCAAAAGGCACAGAGCACCTTTGAATTTCTTCATCCTTGATTGTTCTCTCGTTTCTCCCTTTCTCTTTTTCTTTTGCCCGGGCGCAGATGTAATGCAGTTCTGGCCTTGATGAATCACAGCAGAACCTTGGGCCGAGTCGGCGCTGCTCAGTCTCTGCCGGACTTGCAAAACAGGTGCAAAGCTTTAAATTCGGGTTTTTGTATTTCCATCTTCTGAATCAGTTTCATCAGCCGGTCCTTTATGTCTTCAGACAAATTTGAACAAGTCTACCCTTCACTAAAAACTGTCTAATCTCTAATGTCCCCAGCTCTCTCTATCAATCTTTTGCAATCTGATCTAGTTGGACTGCTGTTCTCTCTTCTCTCTCTTTCTCTCCCTCCCCTGCTTCGTGTGGTGTCACAGAAGCTGCCATTTGCAGCCTCCCTCCCTCCCTCCCTCTCTTTTCTCCTCCGCTACTCTATTTCTCTCTCTATCTTGTTGTCTCACCCTCCCTCCCACATCATGGCACTACCAGTTGACAACAACTTGATGCAGGGACTCATCATTCAGAAAACACAAGTAGATGAACACCATCGTATGTAATGAAAAGTGGATGGAGGCAGCGTTATGTGTTTTCAGTGACTTCCCACCCAAAACTGAGAGCTTTTGTCATCACGTTTGCTCTGCATCACACATCCTTGCTTGTCCATAATGCCAATTTTTTCAATTTATTTATTTTTGATTTTGCTTAAAGACTCACAAAAAAACATATTTTCCATCTAAGCTTAAAATTAATGTTTGTATAGTCCAATTCCAAGTTTAAAATTTTGAGTGTATTGCTGTAATGTTCTCTCACTTTGTGATTATATTTATAGCCAGTAGTTTACTTATTGGCTGAACTGAAAACGATGATTTTCATTGACATTTTATTCAGTGAAATGAATTTCCCTGCATAAAAACATATGAAAACATGCAATAAAGCATAAAAGCGGAACATAAAAGCGTTTTTTGTTAAACATAAAATTGCTCAAATTTTCTGTCAAAAAATAAGAATCTGTCCATGTAACCTGATGCCACATTAGAAGATTAAATAGCAACGGTGGTTCACTGCACAAACGTTGCACAGTAGCCATGTAGTTTTACTGACAATTTTCATCATATCACTTTTTGAATGATGAAGTTTCTTGCTGTGTCTGTGACTAACTGAATTCTGCCATTAACACTCAAGTCACAAGGTCCTCGTAGTGTATTTTGGATTTTTCACATCATCGCAGAAAAATGACTGGTAAGCTGCCAAAGCTGCCATATCTATGAGATTAGATAACAGATCTTTCGTGCCTAAAAAACATTATGCTGTGCATGATGTCACTGCGGTGGATGTCGTCTGAAGTGTAGATTTGGTGAGTGTTGCTTCATAGAAGGTGTGATGTTAACTTCTTAGTCACAATATATCCAATAAGGTAGCAGCACTTAGAGTAATCAACATAGATATCGACACTCCTAAAAGAGAGGATTAAGTGTGTATGGAGCATGGATAGATGAGATATTGACTTGTAGGTGAGGTATAGTGAAAGGTTTTGGACTACACATAGACTAATCTCTTGCTTCTCCGTGAAATGAACAGAGATGACTCTGTGATTTGGAGTTATAAAATAAATAGATAATAAGAAAATTCTGTTTGGATCCATTTGGATTTTTGGTAAACAGGGTAAGAAATATTATCCATGGTTAACAAGATAAATTATCTGTTTGAAGAACATTTGAAAATAATTCCAACTCTTCAGTCAAATGCGGATTGTGTGACACATTTTTGTCAGTTGCATTTATATATTTCTTACATTTTTGGTTCAGTATGCACTTTTGCTGTACATACAGTTCCAGTTATTGAATAAATATGTGCTCCTTTCAAAGTAGTGAAAACTGCCAGGTCTTTGGAGTGGCAGGTGAGAATATTTACAGCTTCTCACTGCCACATGACTGGGTTTAGTCTTCATTTAACCAGCGACTGCCTGCTATTCTAAAGAAAGATGTTATGGGGTCGAAAATATCATGCTACTGGGTACTGTGTCTTATTGCAGATTGATGTCTTTCACACTTCTTGTCAAGACTTAATGAACCACAATTTGACCTGGGGTCGTATGTCTGCGCACGTGGGTGCTTGACAACATGACAGTGCTACCATGGCAGAGTATTTTAATTTATTTGAATGGTGCTAATCAACTTTAGTCAGCTCTCTGCTTTAAAAAAAAAAGTTTCGTCCTCATAAAATGTTCCAGAAAGATAGATATCTGATTGAGTAGATTTCAGCTTTTATTTGTCCACACTGCAAGGAAATCTGTGTCCGTAAAATTCTTAGAGCCTCTAGTTTTTGCCTCAGATTGGAGGCAAGCTGTAGCTTTTTCTCAGTCAGTGTCGCCATTGAGTACTTTACTGTTACCCTTGACAGCTTCAAAGTGTGACATTATCCTCAGAGCTGAGTGCCTGCGCCTCGTTTCTCACATTTTTTCAGAGAACCAGTCATCAGTCAAACGCAAAAAGAGATGACAATTAGTACGGGAGGGGGGTTTAAAGAGTGAGAAGTTTCTAAATACAGCCATACTGGCTCAGCCCAGCTTTATCACTAATGATTCATCAGTGTAGGAACCCTCTGTCTTTTTCTCTCTGTGTGCTCCTGTGTTTCTTTTTTTCTTGCTTCCAGCGTCTGATTTCAGAGTTCTGAGGGTGATTTGCAACAGCCTGTGTGTGATCATCACCAGGCTATTGTGCTTGGCCGAGGACATCAACTAATGGAGCTCAAAGCATCCTTTTCAGGCGTCTCTCGGTCTGTGTCGGCAACAGGTACCACACTGGCTCCCGCATAATATAAGACTTGGACGCCATAGTGCAGCAAGCTTGGAGAACAGTAGATCACAAGGTTCACACATCCAGACTGTAAACCCAGTTATGTAACTGCACCA